TTTAGAGTAGCAGGGATTCACAATCGTGTATCTTACATTCTTATTTGCTACATAAAATAGATTATTCAGCATATAAAACGAAAGTCAAATCATGATTGTTGTTATTGTTCTGCATGTACTTCCTGTACTGTATGTTCTGTAGTACTACTGTATGTTCCTTCTAAAAGTACAAAATATTCCAGAAGTTAGTTGCCTTTAAAATCAAAAAATGTACCACCAGCTGACTTCGCTAAAAACTAAAATCGCAAATTTCTCTTTAGTTCACGTCGCAGAAGTGGGCATTACAGATCCAGTTTGCTTTGTATGTCGTTGCGAATTATTGATGCATCCAAGTGCCCCTTCCGTGAACTCAAACGAGCTCGAGCCTGAGACTTCGAGTCGTACAAACACCTGCACCCCGGCCGAGGACAATCACCGCCCATCCATCAGGGCAGGGAGCTGCAATTCGCTTCACGCGTAAATTGCGCGCCGGCTCGTCAGCGGCAACAAGAATAATGCGATTCGAATGTCGCGTAGCGGCAGGGCTCCTTGAATACCGAAATTCCACTTGTTTGGTGGGAAAGTGGCAGTTTAAAGCACTCCGCGCCCGCAATTATCGGGCTGAGTGCCTGCTTACGCCGCGCCGCGCCGCGGCCGCGGGACACCTGTTGGGCGGCAAGAAGCGGCGCGGCGCGGCGGGCGGGAGCTCTGTCGCCTGCAGGCGCAGCTGCACTGCGCCACCGGAGCCCACGGAGGCACATTCATTTTCAAGCGAATCCTCACATGTGCTCTCAAGAATTAATGAGATTTATTTCTAGCGGATTCGGTTATCGTATCGGGCTGTTACAATCACCTGAAAGATTTAAGTAGGGCACTTTCAAGAACTAATTAGATTTACGAATATTTCTAGAAGCCTCGGTTTTCGCATCGGATTGTCAGGGTCTCGGGTTTCAAACCCGATCGAAGCTGTGGATTTTTAAGGGCGAAGAAGTCCTTCGTAAGCCTTCCTTGGGGGGGAGGGGGGAGGAAATCGGGTTGTCCCGTATTGTAGGTTTATTGCATATAAAAGATTCTGAATCTTTAAACACGACAATCAGCTAAATTCAAACTACTTATTTCGTCACCCGAATCATATCGTCTTTTTCTGCTGGAGGCGAAAGGCGTGGTTGATAGCTAGATGCTAAATGGCGAATAGAAGGTTTCGGAGCCTAAAATATTGATTGATGGATAGATTTATACATGTAATAAGGTAATGCAATGTGATGCCACTTTCAGATGAAATATATATCTACATAATAGTAATCATCCAACTCGCAGATCAGAAAATAATTTTTACTCACCCGTGGAAAACTCATGTACGTGCAATTTTGCAAGGCTTAGTTATTCAACGACATCGCATTAGAAGAGAACCTATTTCATTTTTTTCCTTATTACGTTTACAAACTCGTAAGTAATTCAATATCTAATATCACAGACTGTAATATCTCTACTATCTAGAAAAACAAATTTCATTTTATTTCGTTGCGTTGTGTTTTAATATATTGCTGCATGCGATCTTCGTAGACTCTAAATTTTGAACGTTAAATGCATCATTTTTATGTCAAAACCTTCGTTATATAATCGTTTGTTTGTGTGTGTTTTTCATGTGTTTGTAAACAAAACAAATATTTGTCATTTTCAATTATTTTAAAACTGTCGGCGTAGTTTTTAGATATGTTGGGTGCCTAAGACTTCTTCCGTTTGATCAGAAACCTTAATTCTTCATATAATAACGACAGTGAAATTTGGAAAATTCGAGATAAAAGTCAATTGCTTTCCTATTTGAAAATGTCATCCACAAGATGCCTTACTCTAAACATATTTTTATGTGACAAGTTCTAAACATTGAACGCCATACACCTCCAACTATTAGGCTGCCAGTTTCTCCAAAAACGGAACATAGCACACCAATAGCAAACTCCCACGCAGCCCCGCGTAGAGGAACAAAGCAAAACTTGTCGGGCCGAAGCGTCCTCCGCAAGTTGTCCGGGCTCGAGCGTACCTCCACAGCGTCGCCGCGCAGCACCGTAATGACTACTTTTAGTTTTAGCCGCCGCTCCGCGCGGAGATTATCATCGCCCTCCTCCGGCAGCCTCCTCCGCCGAGGGCCGCGCCGCGCCGCGCCGCTCCGCGCCGGTAAAAAGGGTGAAATTACCGCGGGGCTTCGTCACACGCTTCCTGGAAACAAAGCGTCCTTTGTCTCGGCGGGGGCCGTGTGTGAGAGCCCGCCGGAGGCTGTCGCCAAAACAGGGACCAGAATGCTGAGTTGTTCTGAACATTACCGGTTAGCTACTTAAAAGATTACCCGCGCGGCAAACACACACAGAAAAAAAAAGGCTCAGCGGGGAGGGCTTCTTTTGTGTTATTAACACAAAAGCACGTGTTTGAAAAAGCTGGCGCGATGATGTCTTACGATAAATTTGTTAGTTTCTCTGTTAGTATTTTAAGGCCGCCGCGCTTTCCGAAGGGAGTGGGGTGGGGGGATAGGATCGCTACGCCCGCCCGTCATTCCGGGCGAAGAGCGCTCTCAGCTTTTTGTGGGGGAACCGCAACCGTGTCCGGGAATTTCCCGAGAATTTCGAGTTCGGTGCGTTGATTCGTATGTTCACACGTTCCCGAGGCCGGTTAATTAGATGGCTGCGCCCGGGC